ACCCTGCCCCCAACGAGGGATGTATGTGGCTGGCAAGTAAAATCAGAGCTGCCAAAAAAAAAACCACAACGCACTCATAGCACAGGTTCTTGTCAAGTTGGAATGTATTGGGTTGGAGCACATGAAATGGTTATTTTGGCAAGGTCAAAAACATTAAGTAGCTGAATATTGGTACTTTCATCTGGTTCAATCTAGTAGTTCCATACAGAATGAGCTCTTCTTAAAGGGCTCTGTGTTCTACATTGTGAAACTACAGAGTGGCCACAACCTCTTTTCTGCACCTGTAGGCAGTGAGCTGAGAAAGAGGGCTGAGTATCTGGGCATGCAAAAAGGGAAAGTTCTCTTTTGAGTGCTCCTTCTACCAGACAGGAGGAAGAATTGGGTTCTTTCTTGAGAGCCCTTCCCATGGTGTACCCATGCTTTCTGAAGACATGTACTTGTGGACAATTAAGTATAAGTTAATGCCTATGATATCAGAATAAAGAATTAGGACTCTAACCATAAGGGAAAAACACGAAATGCTTGCACAAAAAGCCCTTCAGAATATCTTAGTTCTGACCTGGATAAGAGTTTTTTGTTTCATTCCCTTTCTGCCCAGTCATTATGAGAAGGATGAGCGAGCAAAAGCATCACACCTACCGGATAAATATTTCCTTTCACAAGATAGCATTTTTCTGGCCTCAAGAGCAGGTAATCTCCCCGGAATGGTACAATTCGAGGATCGGGATTGCAGCCACTCAGCTCGGAAATACGGTCTGAGTAAAGTCCTGCACATGTCACAACATACTGACATTGAACTTCCTCTCCCTAAGAGAAGAGCAGTGATATGAGTACGCAGATTGGAGAACAGGTCAAGGGCAGAAAACAGGTGATAGAAGAGACAATAAGGACACAGAAAAGGACTTTTTTTCTTTTTAATCCCTTTTAAATGAGGAAATTAAATACAAGTATCAGCAAAATAAATTCTTCAGCATTTAGGTGGTGGCTAGAAACTTAGGGTAGTGGTGTGCAAGAGGATGCCACCTTGAATTCTGTACTTTAAATTAAATTAGGTTCAGGATTCAATGGCTGACCTACCAAGTGAGGATATTTAACAAGACACACACACACTTTACTAAGATCATGGAAATATTCTTAACTATTTATTGCATGAAGAAACAAACTTCATGTAGATGGCCCCCACCAATTTGGCGTCCTCTGTATTTCGGACAGCTTCTCCTGTCTTATCTATGAGTAATTATCCTGTTACTCTCAGGTTGCTTCATACTACAACTGTAACCCACCACCAGCCAATTTCTCCTTCCTGATCAATATCTACTTTGCAGACTGAGGCTACTTTCAAAACCCCATTCATTCAATACACATTTACTCAGAACACACACTACAGTCAAGGTTTGCTTTAACAACCAGGAGACTGCTAATCTTAGGCTGTTGCATTTTCCTACACGTTTTATTTTGTGATTATTATCTACATACTTTTAGATTAGCCCTATTAGGGTTAGCCAATTTACCACCCTATTTCCTAAATAATTTCATTTAACCCCGATTCACCACCACACTCCAATTCCCATCTCTTTACTTCTTACACAGTAAACAACCTTGCTCCAGGTAATTTTTTGTTCTTAGATTTCCTCCCAGAAGACCTGTTTCTGAAGCCTCGGAGTTCTCACCTGTCTCAATAGTCCCTTTCTTTTCAGCCTGTAGTGATTCAACTTATTCCATCTTTGTATGCATCCTATTTTTGCCTAGTTACAAAAGTAAGCCTCTTTTCAAGAGTTATTCAAGTCACACTTCTGACAAAAATCAGATGAAACTTCTCTGCAGTGAGTTCAAATTAGCTAGACTAAACCATGATAGTTTAAAGACACTTGAAGTCAAAGAGTTATGCCAACAAGAAAAACATGACTTCTAAATTGGTTAATATCTTTCCTGTTCATCTAGTTATATAACAGAAGTACAAGAAATAATTTTTATGTGATATAAATCTACTAGTCCTTACTTGAAATGTCAGCAATTCTTTTATTCTTAGAACATAAAATGTAGATAAGCCATATGATAAATGTAATGATAAGAGAATTTGTAGAATGGTACCGGTATGCTAATAACACAAAAGTTCTCTTTAAAAACTCAAGGAACAGTTTCAAAGGAAGAAATGATTAAACACTATCACAAGCCTCTGAAATCATTTTATGGTATATAAGAAACAATAATTAAATTCAGTAACACACTAATTTCACATTGAAAATGTAAATTTAGATAAACGTTGAATGATACATTTGTTAAAAAATACATTTCTTAAAAAAAATTAAACAATGAATCTGTACTGCTATTTAAAAAAGTGAAACAGACTTTTCTCCTATATGCAATCTATAAATTTTAGCTTCTAAATCCTCTCCCCAAAACTTTATTTTTTAAAATTCCTTTTCTTTTAACCTCATAAAAGCATAGATGTTCAACTCAATAAGTTGACTCAAATTCTTAAATTATCATTTAACTATACTAAAGGAAAATGCCAAAATAAAAGGCAGCAACTATAGCAACTGTGGGTGAAACATATTTCCATTGGTATCCCATAGGCCCCTATACATCATTCATCATATGATGCCATATTCTAGTGAAAATATCCCTTAAATGAGGGTAGGGGCAGAAACAGACTTTTAATTCTTTGTTTTTGTTTTTTAAATCCTCACCTGAGGATATTTTTCCATTGCTTTCCGGACAGAGTAGAAGGGAGAGGGAGAGGGAGAGGGAGAGAGGGAGAGAGGGAGAAGGGGGGAGAGAGAGAGAGAAACACATCAAGTGGTTGCCTCCTGCAAATCAAGCCTGTAACCAAGGTACATGCCGTTGGCCGGAATTGAGCCCAGGACCCTTTGGTTCAAGGGCTGATGCTCTAACCACTAGGCCAAACCAGCTAGGGCAATCCTTCTTTGAATGGAGACCCTGGTTGCTCTGCCAGCACATCTGATAGTAATCAAAGTGTCTGTGGTAGATAGGGATGTTTTATAGAGACTTTGGTAGGCCCCTGTAGGCGAAATCCAAGCACAGAACTTTAGGACTTTGGAGGAAAGTTATACCATCCTCTGCAGATAACTATCCTCCTTTTGAGAAAGTGCTTCTGGCTTTGAGTCAACACTTGACCACAGGTCACTGAGTTACCATGTGAACTACCCGTTATTAAGAGGGTATTGTCTGACTCACCAAAGCCACAAAATCGGGTGTGTACGGCAGCACTCTGTCATCAAGAGGAAGTAGAATATACAAGATTAGGGTTGTATAGGTCCTGAAGGCACAAATAAGTTGCAGAGGCGAGTGGCTGAAATTCCCACGATCCCTACTCCTACTAAATTACCTCCTCCTGCCCTGCTCCGTGTGGCTTAACGGTTAGAGTGTCGCCCCATGCACCAAAGGGTCTCGGGTTTGATTCCCAGCCAGGGCACATACCTGGATTGCAGGTTTGACCCCTGGTCCCTACTGGGTTGCATGTGGGAGGCAACCAATTGATATGTCTCTCTCACATAGATGTTTCTCTCTCTCTCTCTAAAAATCAATGGAAAAAATATCCACAGTGAGGATTAACAACAACAAAATTACCTCCTCCCTCTCAACTTGCCCCTGTGGCCCCATGGGAAGTTCTCTATAATCAGTTGGACAAGGAAGAAAAAATACAGGCCTGGTTTACAAATGGTTCTGCACAACATTCTGGCCCCACTTGAAGGTAAACAGCAATAGCACTATAGCCCCACTTGGGAGTAGCCCTAAAGGATTGTGGTGAAGGGACCTGCTCCAAGCACGCAGAACTTTGAATACCATATGGTTGTTTATCTCACCTAGAAGGAGAGATGGCTACAAGTATGCATCTACACAGTTTCATGTGCAATGACTAATGGTTTGGCTGGATGGTCAGGAAAAGAAGCTCTGGAGAAGAGGTATGTGAATGGACTTCTCCAAACACGCTAAAGGTATTTCAGTTCCATATGAATGCTCACTGAAGAGTAACAGGGGCAGAGGAAGATTTTAATAATCAGTAGGCAAGATGAACTGCTCTGTGAACATTAGTTAGCCTCCTTCCCCAGCCACCCCTGTCCTTACCCTATGGCTTCTCAAACTAAGTGATTATGGCAGCAAGGATGGAGGTGATGTGTGGGCTCATCAACATGGCCTTACTCACTACAGCCCCTGCTGAATGCTCAATCTCCCGACAGCAGAAATCAAAAGAGCCACTGATATGATCCCTGGACCACTTCAATTTAAAAAAAGGGGAGAGGGGTGCAGTACTTAGTCCTTGCTCTGGATATAGATCTGTCTTCCTTGCCCACAATGCTTCTGGGGAAACCACCATCTGTGAACTTACTGGATGCCTTGTTCAACATAATGGTATTTTACCCAGAAGCATTACTTCTGATCAGTGAGGTTATTTTATAGTAAATGAAGTGTAACAATAGGCTCATGCTTACGGAATTTACTGATTTTATCATTTCCCCCACCATTCTGAAGCTACTGGGTGACAAAGTGGAATGGACTTTTGAAGATTCAATTAACAGCATTAGCCAGCCGGCAATACCCTGCAGGGCTGGGGCAAGGTCTTCCGGGACCTTCTATATGCTCTAAATCAGTGACTAATATATGGTGTTTCTCTCACAGCCAGGATTCACAGTTCTGGAAATCAAGAGGGGGAAATGGGAGTAGCTCCTTACAATAATCCACTAATTTCTGCTCCTAATCCAAATTTCTGCTGCCTAGGCCCACAACTTTGGGCTCTAATGGTTTAGAAGTCTTAGCTGCCAAGGCAAAAATGCTTCCATTATGGAAGCAATGGTTCCATTATGCTAGAAGTTGATACTATCACACCTGGCCACTTTGGGTTCCTCGTGACAGTGAATCAACAGGCAGAGATTACTGTACTGAATGGAGGTTACTGATCCTGACTCACAGGAGCAATAGAGTTGCTACCACACAGAGAACTTGGGGATGATAAAGAGGAGTGTGTCTGGAATATAGATCTCCTAGGCTATCTCTTTGTATCCCCACGCACTGTTATAAAAGTTAATGGAAACCACTACAACACAAAACAGGCAGGGCTGCTAATGGCAGAGACACTTCAGGAATAAAAGTTTGAGTTACCATACCAAACTAGGAGCCATAACCAGCTGAGATGCTTGCCGAGGGCCAAGGGACTATGGAATGGATAGTGGAAGAAGGGAATTATAAATATCAGTTATGATATGCCCACATGATTGGTGAAATAAATGAGGAATGTAGTAGTTATTTCTTCCTTACTGTGAAACAAATATACTTGTCTATAATTATCCAAATCTTTTTCTTCATTGTTATAATATGAATCATGTCCCCCTCCCCCCCAAATTCATATGTTGAGGCCTTAACTCCCAATGTGACTATATCTGGAGACAGAGCTCTTAGGGAGGTAATTAAGGTTAAATGAGGTCACAGGAGTGAAGCCCTAATCTGATAAGATGGTGTCCTAATAAGAGAGACACCAAAAATTGTGAATGCTTTCATTCTCATTCTCTCTCTCTCCTCCCCCTTCCCTCTCCCACACGAGCACGCAGAGAAGACCATGTGCGGACACAATGAGAAGGCAGCCATCTATAAGCCAAGAGAGTTTTCACCAGAAAGCAACCCTGATGGCACCTTGATCTTGGACTTCTAGCCTCCAGAAATGTGACAAAATAAACTTCTTCTGTTTAAGCCTATGATACTCTGTTATGGTAGAAAGCATGTATGTCTTCAGTTGTATGAAAGATAGTTGAACCTTGTAGGTGGAAGCATAATTTTACTACTGCCTTTATTTGGAAATTAAATGTGGTTATAAGAAGTGCGAATGGATGGTAAATTGGAAAGGGATCGAGTGTGGGGGTTTATACTGTGTCAATTTGGTTACCCTGGAAACTACCCTCGACAGAATCCCCTTCCCTATATGGTTCCAACTTAAAGTTGACCAAAACAAGAATTGCATATGATTTGACAGGCAGAAGTAAAACTGCAGCCACTATTCTCTGAAGGTGATTCTAGGCCAATGTGGTGACAAACACCCACTGCCAAGTGAATTATAGCTCCATATCCAGCTCTGCTTCCCATTTACTGATCCTACTGACCAACTGCTGCCCTCGCCTACTACCTGGGTGTAGAAAAGGGCTCCCCCAGATCTCCTCATGAGCTTCTGATTTGCAGTTTCACTTCAGCAGCTGGATACACTTGGTTCTCAGTCTAGCTGGATACACTTCTGATCTACCAACTCTCCTTCTAAACCTTGGCTTTCCCAGGTCCTTTCACAATTGTGTGAGGCCTAATTCCTGTGATAAATCCTGCTACACTCATTAAATACTCAGAAACCTAAGCATATACGTCCTTTTTTACAGGCAAAAGGAAAGAAATCATTATTTGTACAGTTGACCCTGGAAAATATATGGAGTTTGTATGATGCTGTCTTTTAAATGCCATCTTTTAAAGGTTAATGACTCTGCTTTCCTGGCTGAACTCTGAACCATTCAGTGAACACGCAGTGAATGCAAAACTTCTATGCCATTCAATAGTTGTTTTAGATTATGTGAAGATGAAAGGAAGCAGTCCATCTCCCTCTGTACAATCTGTGTCACCCAACCCCACCTAAATTTTCTCATTAGTAGAGAGCTAAGTTAATGTAGAAGAGCAGGTAGAACAATCAAATATCCATCAGTTTTGCCTTAAAATTAAACACTCCAAGTACTTAGAATCCTATTCCTTGCTGGCACTGTCACTATATGAATACATTTCCAAGTTGAAACCCTTCTTAGAATGAAAACTTTTACACTGCTCTCAAAGAATTTCTCTCAAAATAACTTTACACTAGACAAATTTCATTCAGTGACAGAAAATAAAGCACTGTGGCTAATTCAACTTTTTAAGAAAGGAGAGGGAATGAATATAGATATAAGGAATTTTGCTTAAGAATCTTTACCTTTGTATTCCTTATAACAATTGGATATTTCATCCCTGGGGGGGGGAAAAAGGAATTAGTGATTTATTTTTAGTAAAAAGAAGGCTTACAGTATTTGAAATATACTAATAACAAATTTAAATGAGTTTCTTCAGTCACAACCATGATTACTTTCCACATTTCATTCTGAAGCTTTTACCAAGCAACGAGATTAAACTAGTTCATATTTGACAATATATAAAACTCTGGCATGTTTTTTAGATTATTTTATATGAATTTATTTAATCTATGATTATCAACCTTTCCCCACTTCAGCTCCAACAGAGGCAGTCCCAGCTTTTCTCTGAACCACAAACCTAGAAACCATGCTATAAAATGCATCATTGTAAGTCAATATGTATTTTCCCCCAGAACTAATGCTATGACACTTGTTGTTCAAATGCTGGTTGCTGAATCTTTGTAGATTCCAGGTTGTGAAACGAAGCAAGAGTTATTAAAACACTAAAATTTCCAATAATAAAGTATTTAAAAAATTAGTTTCCAATCAGATAGTGGGGATCTCAAAGTCTTATAAAGCACATGTACAACAGGTAAAGAATATAATCTACTTGTACCATAAACAAATTTGATTGATTATGCTACCTACCTATAAAAATCTTAATTATTTAACAATTTTGCTCATAATCTTAGAATTTAGTAGGACACTAGGAGAATGATTCGTATGGCCTAAATCTCCTAAAAAGAAAACCTGTTAAGTAAGAATAAACTCAGCACTACATTTTTCTTCATTCAAATTTCCCAAAAGCAAATTCAAAATTTACATTTCTTTTTTTTTTTTTTTTAAAGAAGTCTCCAAAGTTCAGAATGGCTAAGTCATGCCCTAACCCCAGACAGTCTGATTCAGTAAGACTGGGTATTGCTAAAGTCTGCATTTTTAACAAACATCTCCAAGGAATTCTGACCCTAACCTACATATAAACAGGCTTGGCAGCTCAGGTTTTAGCACTAGTCATCAGTGTCTGATCAGTGTCTCGTTCTATCAACACTCAACTCACTGGAAGTCCCAGTTCACCCACATCTAGCCTTACCCTCTGCACCTGCCTCCAGCTCTGTGCCCTACTCTAGCCCAGCTCCTGGCAGACTTCTCCCAGCCAAAAACAGTCCCCAATTTGTTTAGAAGTCAATACAAACATTCAAAAGAAAAGACAAGGATGGCTTACCATCTTCGCATCTTGAAGGACTTTCTCTAGCCATTTCAATATCTTTTACTTCAAAACTGGTCAAGACAGAGCCACCTGCATCTTGGAAATCCTGGGCAAATGACAAAGCCACCTGACGATAGTCCACAATGCCAGTATAAGGGCAATCAATGGCCATTAGTCCCTGGGACAGAATTATGTAAAAGTCAAGATAATACAACTAAAAATCATTAAGAACAGTTTGTTCAATAAATTTTATTTTGTGCTGAAAATTTTTACTGTTTATTTTGATGGGTAACACACATTATGGTTCCTTAGAAAAAAAATCTCATAGTTTTAAAGAAAAGTAAAATAATAACTTGCTCTGTAGTGCCTGAATTTAAACTTGAGTACACTGGCTGGGGCAAAAGTAGGTTTACAATTGTTCCTATGGAAAATAATACAATAATTAAGAATATATACAAGAATAAACTCTGTGTTTCACAACCTCACAACTGTAAACCTACTTTTGCCCCACCCTGTATGATGTATGTATACAGACACACACACAGTATGTCTAACAGATATACGAGTTAAATAAGAAAATCTCTATAATCAGAAATAATTCTCCTGCTTAAAGAGTTCATTTTGCCAGGCTCCTCCAACTACTACAATGCCTTTTTCAGTTTTATTCATCCTTCATCCTATCTGATTCCAATTCATATCTGATTGAGTCGAATTCTATATCACTAAACAATTATGTTTTAAATAAACTCCACTGAGTTTTCCCAGTAGTGGATCGTATGCCATACACGCTCAGTGAGAAAGCTGAATCGCTCACACATTTGCAGAGCGTTGATCTGATTTGCTGCAGACTCTATTTTCAAGACTGCAAATATTGAATGGAGGTTGCATGTGGTTAATTCAAACTTTCTCTTCAGGCAACATGAGAAATTAACAGCGTGGGGTTTTTGTTGTTGCCAAGATATGTTCAAACTCTACAGATGAATGATCTACAAGAATACTTACTTAATTTTTTGGAATAAATGTATCCTTTCCTAATTCTGAAGAAAAGGATAAGAATAGAATTCCACACACGAAGTACTGATTACAATTTGGGGAATCCTTTGTAATAGTTACATTTTCTCTTGCCTTATTGTGCATGAGAATATCAGTTTTGCCAATCAATCTCCCCCCTAAGAGGGCTGCCTGGTTCCCAGGATAACTAAGACCCAGAAGCTGAGTGCAACCAGCAAATGCTGCCGTCTTCTTGTTTGGCCAGCACAGCATGTCATTGTTGTGGTTTTGAAGTAATATTTTATAATAGTATTTTAAATATTTTATTCCTATAGTGCCCCACCCCTACCCCCAATACATTTACCTACTTATCCTTTCAAAGCTTTAGACTTTGCCACCCACCCCTGATCGCCACATAACCAGATCACACTAAGGCTCACAAAACACCCAACAGTTTCTTTTCATGCTTTTCAGTCTTGAAAGCAACATTTGAAAAACTTCACCATTTTCCTGATGATCTGCTTCCAGAATATGAGAGCATTTGCCCAAGTATAGGAAATCACTCCTTTTGTTTTGATATAGTAGATACACGTGATATTTCATTAGACCTCATGTGGTCTGACAATCCCTAAATTCACAGGTCAATAGCTATAATTCAATTTCAACCTATAAATAGTATTTTGGGTACAATAACCTTGGAATCTAAATTAGGAAAATACCAAGAGTTCAGTCACAAAAACTTCCTTGCCTAGCGTAAAACTATGTGACAAGTATAAGAATGTAAAGGTACTCCATATCAATAGTTTTTTGGAATCCCGAATATCCTCCTTATTCATATTATATTTCTATCACCTAGCACAATGCCTGACACATAGAAGGCACTTAAACATTTACTGAATGAATGAACTTTTGAGAGCTGTCTTTTTAAACATACTAGATTTTCTCCCCTCTAAACCTTTCCTAAAAGGTCTCCCTTCTTTTCTTTCCCTTTCTAGTTTTGGCTTTGCCCCTCTTCGTGAGATGCTGGTGAGCCCTACCTATGCATGTACATTGGGGAAAGGTGGAAGATGTCACTGCTGCCAAGCAATCCAATGCCCTGGCCCAGGACGGGGCTGGCGGACAGGCTAGCCCTCAGCCAGGAGCTGGGCATGCACTGTCCAGATTACCAGGTCAGAACCTGAAATCTGAGGCCACAGCAGGTCAGATGGCTAGAAAACAACCAGGCAAGCAAACAGGGAACAGAGTTAGAAGTCAGTCAGGAAGACAGAGGAATAGATAAACATGTGGTTGACCAATTAAAGAAAAGGCAGACAGATCAGTACAGCTTAGGTCAGAAGAAGCAGTCAGGATCTGCCCAGAAAGAGAGCTATCAAGAGCTATCCTTCAGAGTCAAAGTTCACAGAGGCAGTTTAAAATCTTCCAAGATGCTCCCCCGGGAGTACTTAAATCTTCTGCTGAAAGGAATCCAGTCCAAGAAGCCCTTTAGAACTGCCTTAATATGCTTTTTCTTTCTGGAGGTCCTGGAAGAAAAAGAAGTAACCCTGTTCTATATAAAATTTGCCCACCATTCCTGGTAGTGGTGGTGAGGTTAGGGGAGAAAGGAGGAATTTATTCAAGACACCTTTATGAAATAACCAAGCTATATTTTTCTACTATATATTGCCACCCCTAAATAGGCACTGAAAATTACAATGTGGCATTACATAAAGCAGGTCACTTCTTCAGTGGCCTCAGAGAAAAGCAGGATTCCTCTTTTACAAGTTACACTCCTTAGTCATCTTCCAAGTGAGAGTTCACCTCCGAGAAGGCTTTCCTGAATTCTTGGACTAAACTAAAAGCTTCCGATAAGCACTGCCTTGCAGTGACTTCAAAGTCAGACTCTTTAACACAGGTACCTGGAGTCCAGCTATTGCATAGTCAATAAAGGGTCAGTGAGGAGAGAACAGGAGATATAGCCATTCACTGAAATAGCCAGTGGAACTGGTGTTGAACTGATAGCTTCTGAAAGGCTAGCAAAGAAAGTTGATATGCAGAATATTATTATTCATGTTTCTTTCATGAATAAAAAGGAAGATCTGCTTTTCCCCACAGCATATTTTGAGCAAGATACTCTACAACCCACCCTTCATACTCATGCCAGCCTTATCTTCCTGAAATACAGATTGGATATTATAGCCACTCTCCTCAAAAATTTTCAGTGGCTTCTATGCCTACAGGATAAACTTCAAAGTTATTAGCATGAATATCAGGCCTTTCATGCAGGCCTAATCCTGACTTTCTGGTCTCACTTTTTATATTTCCCTACACGCCCTGTGACCAACCACACCTCACCACTCAGTGCTTTCCAAACATGTCATATGGTCTCAGACCTCCTCTTGCCTTTGCTTACGTTCTTCGGACCTGGTATTTTCTCATGAGTGAGAACAAAAACAGAGGTTCCATGGAAAGTAACCTCACAAGGTGATCTGATCATAAATCCCTAACTGGGCGGGTCCTGGTGGGTAGTCACGCCCCAGGAATATAACTTCTTTAGTAAAAGATTTATCTTTGCCTTGGGCAAGCCCAGTCTATTGTTCTTGTGCATTTAGGTTAACACACCATAAAAATAAACTGTAACGACCTTGTTACATAACATAATCTTGTTAACTACCATGTTATCCAATCCCTGCCTGCTTTCTCCCACCTTCCTATAATCTTCCCGCAAAATTTATTCTTCAGAGCATTTGAGATCTTGCTTCCTGGCATGTGTCGGCAGTTTGGCTCAAATAAACTCTTACAAAAATTCTCTACCAGTTTGGACATTCCTTACAACTTAGGGGAAGAAGAAATCAGGTGTCCAGAGTTTGTGGCAATGTCCTCTTCTGTTGGTCACCTTGCTGCTTTTGTGACAGGATTATCTGTTTCTATATAATTCCTTCCTCTTATAAATTCACTCTCAGCCTCCATGTTCACAAGGCTGAGCCCTAAATGAAAATATGAAAATGTCCCTGTGTGTGGAGTTAGTGAGTCACTTACCCTACAATATGGCTCCTTCTTTTTTATATCTTCCTGCTGGATCAGCCTCAGGCCCTGAACACCATTCTGCAGGCCTCTTTCATATAGGGCCTGAAGTCTGGGGATTTCTTCTTGTTCGACAGCTACTATAAGCTTCAAAAAATGATAATATGAATAAAGTTAAACATACCATCAGCTATGAAAGACAAAGTGACTAGAAAACCATAAATTGTTGCAGGACTCAAATTGGGTTGATTTAAAAAAATTTTTTTCTTTTACGTGTATCTACTTCAACCTTTCTTCATGACTTCATTGTCGTCCTCCACTGAAGAGAGTTATCTTTGCATGCCCCCTGCTGGGGATCAAGCCTGAAACCAGGGCATGTGCCCTGACCAGGAATTGAACCGTGACCTCCAAGTTCATGGGTCGACGCTCAACCATTGAGCCACGCTGAGCGGGCTGAAAAAAGTTGTCTTAAGAAAACTGCATTAAAACAAATTTTCCTTACCCAGCCGGTATTGCTCAGTGGTTGAGCATCGACCCATGCACCAGGAAGTCACAGGTTTGACTCCCAGTCAGGACACATGCTCCAGTTTTTGGCTCGATCCCCAGCAAGGGGTGTTCAGGAGGCAGATGATCGATGTTGATGTTTCTCTCTCTAAAACCCATGAAAACATATTTTTTAAAAAGTAAATGTTTTAAAAAGAAAAAGACAAATAACCCAATTTAAAAAGTGGACAAATTATTTGAATAGACATTTTTTCAAAGAAGACAAATGGCCATTAGCCATTTGCAAAGAAGAATGGCCAATAAGCATAACTAGGGAAATGCAAATCAAAACCACAATGATATACGACTTCACATCCTCTAGGATGGCTAAATTTAAAAAGACAGATAATAATAGGTGTTGGTGAGAATGTGGAGGTATTAGAATCCTCATTAATTGTTGTTGGGAATGTAAAAAACAGTGCAGCACTTTGAAAAACAGTTTGGCAGCTCCTCAAATGTTAAACATGGAGTTACCTATAACCCAGCAATTCCACTCCTAGGTACGTGTCCGAGGGAAACGAAAACACAGGTTCACACAAAAACCTGTACATAAATTCCATAGCAGTGGTATTTACAATAGCCAAAAGGTGAAAACAACCCAAATGTCCATCAACTATTAAATGGATAAACAAACTTTGGTATACCTACACAATGAAATTTAAGAAGGATGAAGTACTGATTCATGCTACAAGATGAATGAACCTGGGAAATATTGGGCTAAATGAAAGAAGCCACTCACAAAAGACAACATATTGTGTGATTTCATTTACATACAATATCCAGAATAGGCAAATCCAGAAAGTATATCAATGCCCAGCTGGGCGTGGCTCAGCGGTTGAGCATCGACCTAGGATCCAGGAGATCGGGGTTCGATTCCCTGGGTTGTGGGCTTGATGCCCAGTTGGGGGTGTGCAGGAGGCAGCCGATCAATGACTCTCTCATCATTGATGTTTCTCTCTCTCCCTCTCCCTTCTTCTCTCTGAAATCAATAAAGATATGTTAAAAAAAAAAAAAAAAAGGAAAGTATATTAACAGTAGCCAGGGTCTGGGGAGAAGTAAGACTAGGAAGTAGGGGGAATGGGGAATGACGATTAATGGGTATACAGTTTCTTTCTGGGATAAGGAATATGGTCTAAAATTTGTGATGACAGCTACACAATTCTGTGACTACACTAAAAACTGAATTGTATACTTTAAAAGGGTGAATTATACGGTATATAAATTATGTCAATAAAGCTGTTACTTTAAAAATTACATGGAGTGCCCTGGCCAGTATGGCTCAGTTGGTTGGAGCCTGGTCCCATACACCAAAAGGCTGTGGATTTGATTCCCGGTCTGGGCACATATCCGGGTTGCGGGTTCAATCCCTGGTCGGGGTGTGTACAGAAGGTGACCAATCAATGTTTCTCTCACATTGATGTATGTTTCTCTCTCCACCCCCCTCTAAAATAAATAAAAACATACCAAAAAAATTTTTTTAAATTACATGTAGTCACACCATCTTTTTTTAAGTTATTCTCTAATTTTAGATTTTGCAAATTATATTGATATAAAGAAAGAAAAGCCCTTTTTAAAAATTCAACATTAAATATCACTAAGAAAAAGCTAGTTATAAATAAGTCAAGGTCCTAGTAAAATACCATACCTTGCCACACTGCTTGTAAGAAATTCCCTTTTGATTACAGTACTCATAGATGAGGGCTGCACCTTGTACACATAATTTAGCTTTCAGAGATTCAGGTTTATAATAAATCCCACTATGTATGACACCACTGTTATGTCCAGTCTGGTGAACAGCTACCAAACAAGAGAAACAGGATAAGAGAAAGTACATGACTCACACAAAACCTAAGAAGCAGGGGAACAAATATAGTTGAAGTGATCAGAGACCACGTTATTTAAAATTCTTACAGACAGAGCACTGGTAACTTCCTCTAGCCACCATCCCTGGTGCCTGTGTCACATTCCTCCAGTTCATCTTTGATTTCAGTTACAACTCTGGTGCACAAACTCACCTCTCACTACCAGAAAACCACTTCAAGGGCCCACTATAGCTCTCTGCATTCTGTCCCAGGGCCTTTTCTAATGTAGGGAAGGAGAACTCAACATCACTAGGGGCAATCCTCAACCAACAGGGACAGGAACTGATTGATAAATGAGCATGATCCTGGGACATGTTTATGTAGCACCTCAGAGGTCACAACGGAATCAAGCTCGCAATAGCAACTTCAATAATGTACCCTCATGTGGCTTTTTCTCCTTCCCTGTTTACTATCCCCACCTCCCTCACTCCTGTATCCTAGATAACCTCTCAAATAAATCACCTATATCCAAGTCCTAGGCCCAGGTTCTGCTTTATAAGAATTCAAACTAGCGTTGACACTCAGCATAAACAGATGCAGAATTGAGAAAATGAGCAGGTGCTCAGGTTAAGCCCAAAGAGCAGCATAACATACATACCTAAATCTTTTTCCTTTTCCAGAACACCAATAGAAAGTGCTGGATGTCGCAGGATGAGTGCTCTGGCAGAGGCAAGCCCCACAATTCCGCCACCAATAATGACTACATCAAATGAGCTTCAAGAGAAAGTCACCTTTAGAGTAATGCACATTTACAGTAGACCTCATCAAACTTCACATGCAAAGTTTTCGTCATCTATGAACAATTAATTAAACTATTATTTTATAATCATTAAAAACAAATATTTATTGGACTTTGTGTTATTTGGCTTCATACTCATGAAGATACCTTTAAAAGTTCCATGCATTGCTGGTCAGGAATATACCCAGCTACATGCAGCAGGCAGGGTGGCTAGTTGATTAAGTTGCTCTAAATCTCCACAGTACTCTGCCTGGGCTAGCTACATGTGTTAAGCATCATGCTCTTCTCTACCATCTATTCTTTTAATATTTGAGTACAGTGTTCTTGAAGACTAGCTAAATACATTAAGTTTTTAACACCTTAGTGCGCAAGAATTTATAATTTTTTTCTGTTGAAAGGAAAACAGCCAATTGTTTCAGAAATAGGTTTGGAACCACAATTTTAGCCACGATAAACCCTGATTATACAACCATTTCAAAAATTAGAAAGGGCTTGTATAGTCTAACTTAGCAATGAAGAGTAGAAAAGATTCCCTTTGGCACTGACCTTATGGTAAACAAATCTAGGTTTTATAGGAACATGGCCACTCTTGCTTCTTCTATACCCCGCCTATTTTATACCCTCCTGTATTAAATTATTTTGATGCAAATCCTAAACATCATCTATAATTACTTTAATATGTTATTTCTAAAAGGCCTCTGCAGAATACACACACAATACCATTATTCTAACTAAAAAATTTAACAAAAAATGTTTTATATCATCAAATATACACTATAAAACTTTTGGAGGAAAATAGAGAAAAAAATCTTTGGGATGTAGGGCTAGGTGAAGAGTTTATACCAAAAACATGATCCATAAAAGAAAAAATTGATAAACTGGACTTTATAAAAATTAAAAACCTCTTCTTTGCAAAAGATCCTGTTAAAAGGATAAGAAAACAACAAATCAAGGGAAAATACTTGCAAACCACATATCTGACAAAGTATTCTTTCTAGAATATCTATAAGAACTTTCAGCCCTGGCCGGTATGGCTCAGTTGGTTGGGTGTCGTCCAGCGCACCAGGAGGTTGCCAGGTGGATTCCTGGTCAATGGCACATGCCCGGGTTGTGGGATCAATCCCTGGTAAGGGGGCGTGCAGGAGGCACCTGATCAATGCTGAGCCTTCACATCAATGTTTCTCTCTCTCTCCTTCTCCCTTCCTCTCTCTAAAAATCAATAAATTATTCATTTAAAAAAAACAAACCTTTCAAAACAAACAAACCATTTAGAAAATGGGCAAAATATACGAACAAACACATCATCAAAGAGGACAGAAATACAGATGGCAAATAAGCACATGAAAAGATGTTCAATACCATTAGTCATTAGGGAAATGCAAATTAAAACTACAATGAGATATCACTACACTCGTATCAAAATGGCTAAAATTTTAAAAAGTGATAATACCAAATGCTGGTGAGGATGAAGAAGAACTGGATCACTCATATATTATTGGTAGGAATGTAAAATAGCAGTCACTCTGGAAAAAGAATATGGTAGTTTCTTAAAAAACTGAACATGTGCTTAGTATTGGTCTTAGCGCCTACATTTATCCTAGAGGAAGGAAAAATATGTTCATACAAAGACCTGTACATAAGTGTTTATAGTAGCTTTATTCATAGCCAAAAACATGAAACAGCCCAGATATGCTTCAAGTGGTAAATGGTTAAACAAACTGATAGATCCATATCACGTAATGCTACTTAACAATTAAAAGGAACCTCACTATCCATATAGGTAACACCTTAGATGGATCTCAAGGACATTATGCCGTGTGAAAAAAAGCCAATCTCAAAAGATTACATACTGTGTGATTCCACTTATAGAACATTCTCAAAATGACAAAATTATAGAGCTGGGGAACAGGGTAGTGGTTGCCACAGGTTAGGAAGGGTGTAGAGATGGGATGCGAATGTATCACAGTAAATAACATAAGGGATATCTTTGTATTGATAGTACATTTCTGTTTCTGAATTGTGGCGGTAGTTACACAAATTCACACATGGTTAAACTGCATAGAAACACACACACACACACACACACACAAATGAGTGCATGTAAAACTGATGAAATCAGAATAAGGTCTATGGATTGTGCCCAAGTCAACTTCCTGGTTTCAATATGGTACTATCCTTACATAAGATGTTATCGTTGGGGTAAATTGGATGAAGGGTACATGAGAGCTCTGCTTCCTTGAAATCGTTTACGAATCCATATTATTTCAAAATAAAAAGTACAAACAAAACCATCACTAACCCTACTTCTTTTTTTAAACACTTGTATTTTTAAAAAAAAATATTTGTATTGGTTTCAGCGAGAGAGGAAGGGAGAGGGAGAGAGAGATAGAGAAACATCAATGATGAGAGAGTCATTGATCAGCTGCCTCCTGCTGGGGGTGGAGCCCGCAACCCAGGCATGTGCCCTGACCAGGAACCGGAGATCTCCTGGATCATACAAGTCGAAGGTCAACCGCTGAGCCACGCCCATCCGGCTAACCCTACTTTTCTTCCCTTAAGAAAAGCTTCCCAAAAGAATTGTCCACATACCCCATGATGACTTACAAACTCTATGCCATTCTAATCACCCTTCAATACAATAACATACAGCAGAGTAAATTTTTGAAACATCAGCATTTAACCACTCCTTCTTCTTAAAAACCCTTTAAAGGCCTCCCAATGTGCTTAGAATGAAGTCCAATGTGTAATTAAAATAAAAATCCTGATGTGATGTAGCCCCTCTCCTGGTGTCATTCCACATCATCTGTGATGCTAAGCTCCAGTCACACTCAACTTCCCCACTTTCTTCCTAGTTCTAGAAATAGCCAAGCTTTCCAGCTTTAAAGGCTTCGCATAAATCATCATCTCTACAGAAAGCAGGGAAAGACAGTGGTTTCCAGTGTGACCTCCAAACTTTAAGTCACAGAACACTGACTTCTGCAGGCTTTGATAAGCAACTGAGCTGTTTCGCACTGAGGTAACTCTGCAGTGTCTGCCTAGAGCTTATTTAAGACTGGTTTCAGATTTCCCAAGTAACACCAAGGATGCCAGCTAATAAACAGCGTTACTTGATTGCTTGCAGTGGGCTTGGTCTCAAAGCGATCACCTGCGGAAAAGCCTAGGATCCAATTCACAACTGAGCCTTTAAATAGCTCAAGTTAAATAGAAAAGGGGGGGGGGGGTTGTATTCAAAGA